GGACGTCACTCAATTGTTTTCATTTGACTTTTCTCTATGACACACAAAGTAGAGGTGGCACTATACCCATTGGGTTGGCGTTGCATTTTTTTTTTCAATGAAATGGTTTAGTCTTTTTTACTTAGCAAATGTTCCGAGCAGTTGGATCAGCAAAGAGCAAAGAGCTGGCCTCATAAAAGGCAATTGAAAGACTCATACTTAAATGTGTGCATTTGCTGCTGCTGAGGTTCTTATCGTGAATAGAAAAAAACAACAACAAAAAAAGGCTTTTAACAGTTCCCACATGAAGGATTTTTTTTTCATGAACGTTGTTCTGTTCCCTGGCAGCAAACCTGTGTTGTCCGTTCTTGCGTTTGTGTGGCGATTTGGTGAGTCTCATCACAAGCACTTGTATGTTCAGGGTCACATGATTATTGTAGTTTTATGGTGCCATTACTACAATAAAAGATGTGCAAGTAAACATTAGAAATGTTGTACAACTTGGTTGTGACCTGTGGCAGGAGTAAACTCCGAAGTTAGTCAGCATTTGCAACGTCTGTGTTCATAATACTAGCCAGAGGAAAAGTACTGTCAGAAAAAAATGTACCAAAAGTGTTTGCAGTATTATTTTCATTATGTATATGCACGACTTGATAATAGTCTACAACTTGTAACATTTAACATCCATCCTGAGGACCTGATTTACTAAGATCCCAAATGCACTGACTCATTCACACAACCGCGAGCACACTGGGCAAAAAGGTGTCAAAGTGGCGAGACTGCTGGCAGTTGAGATAGTTTTCACCATGGACTTTAAAGAACCCAAGTTCATATGATTTCATGCCCAAAATATTATTTTGTTTATTTAGGAGAGCCACTTTCCCTGATCCCATCCTTGTCATTGTTACCATTGTCCTTGTGTACTGATTAATGAAGTCAGATGGTCAAAGCAGTGTCACAGCAGAGGCTTGATGTAATGGAGTCACAATAGGATAGCATTTTCTTCCCACTCTATCAATTGCAGGCCGCAAACATGCCTTTCTGTTGTCCGCCTGTTCAGATAATTCACTCGTGGCTGATCTGCTGAACAAAACGGCGCCTCCTTTTCTGACCTGTGTCTCAGCCTATGGTGACATCACATCTGCATCTTGCCTTATAAGGGGATGTGATGGAGGGGGAACATCACAGTGCGCTTTGTGACTCAATTGCTGCAGCAGTCAGACCTCAGTGCTGCATTTTTAGGCATCCCGCTACTTCATGCCAAAACCTCATTGAGTGGATCCATTTTTAGCTGGAGGACATGCTTTACTGGCAATGTACCTCCATTGTCCTCTATTCTTATGTGTGGGTTGCAATGAATATGAATTGATTGCTCAGTAGTTGCTATACTGTCCACGCCATTGTTCTTCCGTACTTGCCAAAAGCTGCTTAAGCAGTCGTGGTATTCATGCATGCTGATGGACATCGTCAGCCTTTTTACGAGCTGCATGACAAGTCTCTACTAAGACAGTGACTACGTGTACATCATGCAGTCAGTACTCTCGTGACGCAAAGAGATGTCAATTCCACATCTCCTATTAATTACACTGGATCGTGTCACACACCACAGGAATAAATCAGTCGTTTTCCTCCTCGCTCCAAAAGTGTGCTGCTGTGCTGCGCACGGCTGCATGTGAACTTGGCCGTATTTGTTTACCTCTGCTTGTGTATTTCCGGCAAGTTGCGTGCTAGACGCACAGGCTTATACACACATATGTGTGTCTGTATACAAATTGTGTCATTTTCACCTTGGAGACAAAAAAAAATAATTATGTGAAAACGCAGTACCGAGGTGTACCGCCGTCCTTGAATGGTATTCCACCCCATGTATCACAATTTATGTTCTTTTATTTGAGAGATGCACACCTCTAGTAAATGTCTAGATTGTTTCCTTTTACGTATCGTATGTTTATGCTAACTCCATCACTACAGTTGTTCGGCAAAAAACCTCAACAGAAAAGCCAAGATTTGAACGTATTTTTTCTCATTTGTTACCTTGTTTCTTGTTACCTTAGCACTGCTTAGCCAGTGACTTTATAACAACTGTTTTGTTGAGAGCAGCTGCTGGTTGTTGGTGGATGTTGGATGTTGTGTAGTGAAGCAAACGTGTTAGGCAAACAGATGGAAAAGCTTAGCTCTGTAAAAGGCCCTTTGCACATATACACTGGAAGAAAAATTGTTCCATTTTATTTCATCAAGTGGTTGTGGTCGAAATCAGATCATCTGGATCCTGATATGTTTTATAAGTAGACCACTGCTCTACTTTAACAAAAAAAAGTGTTTGGATCCAGATGTGTTCATTTGGTGCAACCACTTGATGAAATAAAATTGAGAAAATTCAACACACCATTTTTTTCAATGTACCTGTATTGTACAGAAATTGAATTGGTTATTAGATATTATTATTATTATTATTATTCTACAAATGAACGTTTTACTAAAATGACATTACATTGATAGTGCCATTCAGTTTGGTGCAGACTCTAAAAACATTTGTTGCTTGAACAGAGATTCAATTGTTGTTGGTAAAATTTGCAGGACTAAGTAAATTAATAAAAACAAATTAGATGTCTATAAAATTGGGAAAAATTGCTTTTGAAAGCTATTTTTCCAAACCATTTTTTTAGCCATTCTTTAGTCTATGCCAGGGGTCACCGAGCTTTTGTCTTGTCGATGTTTGTTTTGTTTTCAGCCCCAGCTAGAGCAATGCGTGTTTCCCTCCAGTCTGTGCACCTGTTCCCGATCATCATTAGCCTTGTATTTCAGGACTCTGACTTCTGCTACTCCTTTGTCGGATTATTGACCTTATTCGCTGTGGTGCTTCAAGTGTTATTTTGTAGGCCTCTCGATGCTATTCTTAGTCGTTCTTATTTTTCATAGATCCTTGTTTGTAAATATTTTCCTTATTTTATTATTGCTCTTCATCTTTGGTTTCGCGTTGTTGGATTTTCGGCAATTCGTTTGTGTATTATTGGTGTTTCCATTGTACCTAGCCTTTTATAAGTGCTTTTTCTTTATTCATTGTTTTTCCCTGGCTCCGTGTGACCAGCCATTTCTGTTTGTACTTGGTCAGTGCGCTTTTCTGTCAATACATCTTCTACGTCATTCTTAGAATTTCACCATTTGCTGTCACTGACGGGCAAACTGGTGCCCGTGGGTAGAACATTCTTGACCCCTGGTCTATATAGTATTTGTGGTGTCACACAACCCTGTGACCATAACAAATGATTGCGCTGTTATAGCCCTCAGCTCTTTCGAGCATTCATTCAGTCATCTGCCACCAATTCGCATTTGCACTGTACAATTGCTCAACTTGTTTTCCTCTCAAAAAGCCCATATTTTAGCTGTACAGTAGTTCACGCACCATACTAAATGCACATTCATCATTCTGTCCCTGCCTCAAGTATCAGTCTTTCAGCATTCAGTAATGTCAAGACACCCCCTAATGGGAAATGAGCTTTCATCTGTATAACGCGTTCCCACCCACAAGCTCCCGACGCAGCGTCAGGAGCAACTGGGGGGAGGGGGGGGGGGGTTGAGTATCTTGCTCAAGGACACTTCGACATGGTCACAGGGGCCAGTGATCAAACCCACAACCTCTTGGGTTGCGAGACAACCGCTCCTGAGCCATGCCGCTTTCACATCTATGTCCTTTCGATCTGTATGTAAATTTGCTGCTTACGAACAAAATATATGATATAGTAAAAATGTAGGACCTACCAGAATCATGTCTTCAATTGATCAATTAATAACACCTGGCCTTATCTTGGCCAATGAGCAATCAAGGCATTTGTGATTGATGAAGCTCATAAATTGTCACTCATGAAAAGGTTACAGGGGATAAATCGAAAGTGGATTATGAGTGGGTTCTTTTTACAAGAGAAAATATTTTCATTTTGTTCTGACAATACAAAGTCAAGATGCAGAAATCACTTGGGTCAATCTGGCCCAACTTTCTGGGTTGTTCTAAATTGATATTTTTTATCGATAGAACAATAATAATAATGTATTATTATTATTATTATTATTGTTCTATCGATAAAAAATATCTTTTTTTTTTTTTTTTTGCCTAATGTTATGCAAAACAACCCAATTTTTTGGAAAAGGAAACCATGGGTCAAATTGACACAGGTAGTGGATCGGTACATTTTTGATTGAAATTGGGTTATTTTTTATTCCAACTGTTGAGAGTGAAGGGTAGTCACAAACTACAGTAATCCCTCGTTTAGCGCGGTTAATGGGGACCAAAACCACCCGCGATAAACAAAAATCCGCGAAGTAGCGACCCCCCCACCCCCGTATAGGTACATGTACGTGTATATGAGGATAAAAAATATTTATAAGGCCAAATTTAATGGTATACATGCATGTAGAAGTAAATTTTGTTGTAATTAACCTTCCTTAATGCTGTATACTAATAGATTTAAACATGTATAAGTTAGGTTAGGCTAGTCTATGAATAACAAAATACAGTAAACATATACATGTAGTACTGTATATGTTGCTCGCTGTTGTTTTGCTGACTTTCGCAGCTTCTCGCAGACCATTTGCGGATTTTTTGCGGATGTAATTTAATTTATTTATTTATTTATTTTTTTTGAATATGTTTGAAAAAATCGATGCGATGCACTGAAGCCGAGATAAACGAACCGCGAAATATTGAGGGATCACTGTATTGGGCCTTTTTGTCACATTGCATATGGATAACCTCTCGCTCAATGTCAGTTTACCCGCACACGTGCGCATGTGAACAAACAGCCATATTTTCTTAGTCTTGAATAACAATAACAATAAAATCTAATTCACTTACTCTAATTCAAGTACCTTGTCAAGATAGTAATTCTATACAAACAAACAAAAAGATACCAAAAAGTGTCATATATTGGCTGTATCTGTTTAGTTTAAATTGAAAGCCAACAGCTGTGTTCACACATTAAGAAAACAGCAAACATTAATACTAATTGTACTTTTTTGTTCGACAGGAAACGAAGTCCATCTGCATCCAGGGATCCAAACCAAAAATACGACCAAAGGGAAGGGATTGACCATTCGCAGTATGCCCCGACAGACGGAAGCATGCCCAGATCACCGTCTGACTATGGGAATGGGGACCCTCGGCGGGCTCCGAGGGGCCCACACTTGTACCCGGACGTAAATGCAGCATGGACTGGCTACAGAGACCGGCAGGGTCCTGGACACTGGCACTCCCAGGAATACCCTCTGGACCAGGAGCTAGATGGGCCACACAATGAATATGACCGCCAGAGACAACGGCAGGAGGAGTTCCAGACTCGCTATCGCAGCGACCCCAACCTAGCACGCTATCCTGTTAAGCCGCAGCCCTATGAAGAGCAGATGAGAATGCATGCGGAGGTGGGCCGCCTGAGGCATGAGCGACGTCATAGCGATGTCTCGCTAGCTTACACTGAGCAGGACGACCCGGCTCCGATTCGGCTGTCACGTCAACACCTCACTGAGCGGCGTCCGCCTATGGTGGGACAGCGATCTTACTCTGTTGACCGCTCCTCACCAGGGCCCATGGGTCCTGGCCTTGGGGGCCACAGAACATCAAATCACAGCCCCCCAACACCTCACCGCAGCCCTGTGTTATCTGGGGATCTTCGGAGAGGTGACATGGGCGGAGGAGGGGAATCTATGAGGAGACAACAACATCACTTGGACCCCAATTCAGCTGTTCGCAAGAGCAAGAGGGAGAAGATGGAAAGCATGTTGAGGAATGACTCTCTGAGCTCGGATCAGTCGGAGTCTGTACGTCCTCCACCCCCCAAGCCCCACAAAACAAAAAAGGGAGGGAAGATGCGGCAGGTGTCACTGAGCAGCTCAGAAGAGGAGTTGGCAACTACGCCGGAGTACACCAGCTGTGAGGATGTGGAGATAGAGAGTGAGTCAGTCAGTGAGAAAGGTACGTACACACCCCTTGAGCATCACTCTTTCTGTATTCACTGTACTTTTTCCCCTCTGTAACTGCGATCTACACTCCATTGTAATTATGACAACATAATGTGTGGGGTTTTTTTTTTCAGAGAAGGCAGATTCAGTTATTCTTGTTTCATGTTTATGTTGATTGGTTGTGATGATGGAGCTTGAGCTGTCAGGTATAACCTTCAGTCTGTGCTTTCTCTGAAAGATGCACCTTTACTCTGTTTTGTAAGGTATGTTAAAAGCTCATTGTTTTCTGTTCTACCCAAAAACAACAACAAAAAAATTGGTTCCCTGTATTAAACATGATCATTTATATGTGAGTTATGCTTGAAATTTTATAATTTTATCAACGTGTCATCAACAGTAAGAATGAAAAACATTGAGCTTGTGTGTGTGTGTGCGTGTGTGTGCGTGTGTGTGTGTGTGTGTGTGTG